CTGGGGACACTCCACATCTGGGTGGATTTATATATTTTTCTAGAGCCAGACCCCACTCTGCCCTTTCCAAGACAAGAAGTGGGGTGGGGTGGCTCGTGGCTGCAAACACTGAATAAACAGCTTACATTTCATACTCATTTCCCAGGAGAGGCTTGGTTACCTGAAACAGGCAGGGGTGGTCAGCAGGTGCCTAGGTTTAGAGAAGCTGACATGGCTTTGCTACACGCCTCTCCAGGTCCTGGCACAGTCAAGGGCTTTGAGGACTGCTGCAAATGTGTTAAGAATGTTCCAGGGGACGGGGAAGGAAAGGAGCAGCGTGAGTTAACAAACGCAGCAGTTGCCTGTGGCTGGGGAACGGCTCAGTCTTACAGCACCTGAGGCGGATGTGCCTGGAACGTCAGTGTTGGGGGGTGGCGGCCAGAGACTACCGCAAGCATGCCGGCCAGTCTAACTGAACTGGTGATTGCTAAAGTTCAGTGAGAGCTTGTGGTTCAAAAGACAAGGTGGAGAGGATGGAGGAAGACATGTGATATCAACCTCTGGCCTCTGCATGTTTACAAAACACATGATGTGTGTGCAGACAGAGACACAGAGAGAGACAGAGTGGTCTGTACAACTGCTACCTGAACTGAAGGATGGTTGGCCTTGGGCCGCCACACAGGCAAGGCTACGGTGGCTGCCCTCCAGCTGGCAGTAAGCATGACAGTGGACAGAGTAGGAGTTAGGGATCGAGGTATTTGTGATTTCAGGCAGAACCTTCCTTACTGCTTCCCACTCCATAGCCCCATTCTGCACTTGCAGAGAATAGAGAGAATCTGCCCCTGGTGCCAAGATCCTAACGGGGAGGGGGGAGCTCCTCACCTTTCAACCGTGCTTCTGAGTTCTAAGACCTTTGTGCTGACTAGTTTTATGTCAACTTGGCACAAGCTAGAGTCATCTGAAAGGAGGAAGCCTCAACCGAGAGAATGCCTCCGTAAGATCAGTCTGTAAGCAAACCTGTAGAGCATTTTCTGACTCAGTGATTTATGGGGGTGGGAGTGGGGGTTGTGCCATTGTGGGGGGTGCCATCCCTGGGCAGGTGGTCCTGGGTTCTAAAAGAAAGCAGGCTGAACAGGCCACAAAGAGCAAGCCAGTAAACAGCACTCCTTGGTTTCTGCATCAGCTCCCGGTATCGGGTTCCTGTCCTGATCCTTCAATGATGAACAGTGATGTGGAAGCCCCAGAGGTTTAAGTCCTGTCCTTCCAAAAGCTTTGGCCATGGCATTTTGTCACAGTAATGGTCACCTAAGACACCCTTCTTGGCTGGGTCTCTGGCAGGACACTTATCTGCAAACAGGCAGGGCCAAGTTCTCAAAGTCCAATGGTCACATGAGTCACAGCTGCAGGACCCTTGTTTGGTCAAGAAAAGCCACACTACTTCAAATAATGAAAACCAACCCACATCAAGTGAAAAACTATCTCACGGCTGAGAAGACAAGGATTCTAGAAGGTTCCATTCTTAGATGTTCATACCCACCACATAGTTGGTTATTCCACATAGATCTAAAAATTGAGGCGCTACCAAGTTAGTTACTAGGGCAGAAAAATGACCCAGTCTTTTGTTGAAGCCCCACGAGTAACTTTCAAGTGAACTCTATGAGGAAGAAATGGCCACAGGCTTGAATAAGAGCTGTCTGGTGCTGCTCTGTCCCCTTCGGGTCCTTACTGAGCTTTCCCATCCCCTGCAGTGCAGTGCCCAAGGCCTGGCTTTATTCCAGAAGACCTCATGGGGAGGCCTGAGAGCTTAACTTCAGGTATCAATACTTCCAAATGTTTCCTCATCGCCTTATTGGAGATTCTAGACAGAGTTGCCTAGACCATCTAGGTTCCAGGGGCCACCGTGCTGTGCTGAGTGCTAAAGCCTGGGGCTCCAGAGGACACCAGGATACATGGTACATATGCGGAGGGGAGCATCTTCCCTCCAGGTTAGCACCCTTGGCCCAGTGAGCTTCCTCAGCACAACCTTCTTTGAGACTCATCCATCTTTAAAAAGTGTTCTTTACATTTATTTATTGCCTCAGCGTGTGTCTCCGAGTGTGTGCATGTGTGCAAGGCATGCACATGGAGGTCAGAGGACACGTGAAGGTGTTATGTCCCTCCACCATGTCAGGTCCAGGGACTGATTCAGACTGTCAGGCTCTGCAGAGAACAACCTTACTCCCATGACCTTTTTTTTTTTTTTTAACAACATTTTTCACCCATCTTATTCTTGGGCAGTGATCTGTTCCTTTCCATCCCCCACAATTTTTCTCTACACAGGTTTACTTCCAGTCCCTGGACAGCCAAGCCTCTGGGTATGCAGCTGAGGCAGACACTGGAGAGGCGAAGGGAGGTATGTTTCCTGGGAGGGCTGAGCAGGCAGGGCTGGCTGCAGCACAATGGCCATCTCCCAGTCTCTGACACCACCATGCTGTACTAGGGCAGAGACTAGAAACAACCCTGCACCAGGTATACTGGCTCTAGAAACTTCCAGAAGGTTTCAGAGGGGCAGTCAGGGCTTCAAAAGTTTTCACTTCTTGCAGTTGAGACGCCATTTTCCTTCTCTGAACATCAGCTTTGGAACCAGGGCCTGGGCAGCATGGGGAATGCAGACTCGAGTGAGCCACTCCGAGGATGGCCGCTGACCCTCTGGTCCCATTTAGAAACAACAGTACTAGATTATTTTGGTATCATAAACTGGGAGGATGAACTAGTTACTACTGTATGTAGTCCCACTGCCATCAACTCCTAGAAACCACTTTTCAACCTTTTTAGGTGGACTGTAGGAGAAACGTGGGGTATAAAACAAAGAGGCAACTAGCTGGAAAAATGTGGAGTCTTTGGCTAGGTTAGCCTTATTTGCATGTCATTTACATATGCTCAGAAGTACACAGGAGAAGCACCTGGGAGCACCTTCCTCATCATTCTTCCCTCACAGTCTGCCATGTGGAGGCAGGAAGGAGCATGCGCCAAGAATGAATAAGTAATAAATGAGTACATGAAGAACACTGGGAACAAGACCCGAATGCTCTGATCAGAAAAGGTGAGCACAAGTCACCTACACTGACAGCACGGAAGCTTGCGAGCTGATGACTGTCCTTGCTGCCACTTCACAGACCGGGTATCTGAAGGCCTAGAAGTTGAGCCACCTGCTATGAAGCTGGGACAGGTCCTCCTCCTAGTCTGTGCTCTCTGAGATCGTCTGCTGCCAGGGCTGGCTAACACCTTAGGAGGCAAACGTGAAGCCACGGAGCACGAGGAGAGCCCTTGTTGGCCTGTAGGGGGCAGCCTGGTATCCAGCAGAAGTCAGCAGAGCCAACAACAGCAGGAGTGGGAAGGTTGGAGAGGAGAGATAAAGAAACATCAAGAGGGCAGAGGATGAAGGAGGGAGAAAAAAGGAGACCACTCAGGGGAAGGGGCAAGAACCCCAGCTAAGCACTGTAAACTCATGACTACCAGTCCACGGTGGGGAGTGCACCAACCCTACAGGAAGGAGGGAGCTGCCCTTCCACCGCTGGCTCCTTTGGGGGTCCACCTAGGAGATTTTCCACTCAATTTTCCTGACTTTTCCGACCTTAGATTGTCACCGTCCTAAGAAGACAAACAGCAAAAAGCATGGGACAAAATGCCACACACAGGGGATGAGGAGGTGGTTCAGCTGGTACAGTGCTGACAGCATCGTGAGGACCTGAGTTTGATCCCCAGAACCCACGTAAAATCCCAGTGCCACAAGCTTGTGATCACAGCACTGGGGAGGCAGAGACAGGCGGACCCCTGGGGCTTGAGGGCCAGCCAGTTTAGCCTAGTTGTTGAACCGAACACATGAGATGCCCTGTCTCTAGAAGCAGGGTGGATGGTCCTGAGGAACAGCACCCGAGTCTCTGCTGGTGCACATACAGGGTTATATACACAGCCCGGGGCTATCGCGGGGTTCCACTGGCCGCTCACACCACTTTACAATGGAGATCTTTGGAAAGGCAGAGGTTTCACCTATCTCTACCTATGAGGGACTTGTAAGGTTCTATGGACACCATGGCAATTATCCTTGGTCACTCAAAGCTGTTACGATGTAGCCCAAATGCAAAGACAGCCTACAGAAAGCAGTGAAGAGCCCGTGTGTCACTTCAAAAAGTCATCACTAACTATTTTATGCATCTAAAATGTTCCCTTTTTAAGTTGTCCTCACCTGACAAGTTATGTTTTTGCTCATGCATACATTCATTTTCAATCTCTTCGAATTCAAGTCACAAAGACTAGTTAACTTCAACTATTCCCCCCGCTCTTTTTTTTTACATTTTCTATTTTTTAAGTCCTTAGACCCTTTCCCAAACCACAGCAAAGGAGACTGAAGCACCGACGGAATGAATGCAGCCGAGATAGATCTATAGGAACAGACGGCCCAGGAGCCTGCCAGGGGCAAGAACCGACCACACACACAATCTTCTGCAAGAGGTTCTGGGTGTCTGGGTGTGACATGTGAGGACAGAGTGGCTTTGAGGACAGGCTCCCTCTATCATGGGTACTGTCCCTGTCCACGATGGTCTAACCCACAGGAACTCATGCACGACATGAATGAGATTGCAGGCGCTGTTCCACTCCCAGACAGATATAAGGAAGACCACCACGTCACACAAGACAGAAACTAAAGCATGCTTCCCAAACAGCAGGCTTTGTCTTATCAAAAGCACCCATGCAGTGGAGAGAACACAAGCAACTGCTACTACAAATTAATGCCTGGGGAGGCGCTGCGAATTCAGAATAGATAAGACCTCAGCTTTCAGTGGCCCTGCATGCATAGAGCAGGTAGATTTGTTTTAATGCACGCTCCACTGTGCTGCTGCAATCTAACTGCTTTTCCATGCCGGCAGCTCCTGAGCAAAATGTCTGTATTGACGTGGCATATCCTTTGTCTGACACGCCTCAGGAAAGACCAGTATCTCTGAAATGGTGTTTTAGATGGATGGACGTAGAAAGATGCTTACCTCATCCCATTCTAAAAGGTAGCTGGTGATTTTTGAACCATTGTCAATTGGAGCCTAAAAAAGAAAATAATGAAATGAGATTGGAGAAAGCTGCTCAGAGACAAGCGAGCAACATGGTCAAAGACAGTGGCTGTCATGGCTCCATGCTATCCCCTCAGAGAAGGAACCAGCAGCTGCCGTGGGGCCTTGGTAGACAGCATTACCTATTAACTTGTACAGCTCAGCTCTAGGAGGGCTCAACCCCAGCAGGCCTCCCGGGACAGTAAAGCAACCAGTCCCACCCCTACCATGCTCCTGCCCTACCATGCACATGCTACTGTGCACCCTGAGTCCCTAAGATAAAACTCTGAGGAGTCACTTTAGGTTCAGTGCAGCAAGAGACAAAAGGCTGCTGTGCTTCAGGACACTGCTTGGAGCTGGGGCAGGAGCGCTCAAGCCTGCCATTCTGTGACTTCCCCTCAGAACTTTGGATTTTTGTTTTGTTCTACTTTTCCTTTAGGTACTTAGGATTAGAGAACCAGCTGTAGAATTAAATACCTTCATCCCCACTCTACCTCCTCCCCCCTGCACACACGTGTGCCATACACACACGCACACACACATGCACACACACACACAGACACACGCACACACAAGCACACGCGCACAAAAGGAAAGATTACATCCTCTGGATAGACTACCAGAGAGTACTAGCCCTTCACATGTTAGCAAAAACAGGCACCATCATTTCCTGTGCTCATAAAAGAAAGCTGATACCAGTGTCACTGAGAAGACAAGGTTCAGCAATGAGAACTTTCTGGGAAAGAGTACTTTACAGAGCCTGAGCTATTGGAAGGGGTGACACCGAGTTATCGCAGCACTCAGGGTAAAAAGTCCTCAAAAAACAGACAAAACAAAAGGCAAACAGTAGGAGCCTATCCTGTCTCAAAAATGTACTTGGGCTTGGTTCTTTCTCAAGAGAGAGAGAGAGATGTGGGCCCAATGAACTCCACCACACCCTTGCAGACAGAACCCCAGCCCAGCTGTCTGCTTGCCAGTAGTCTGGTGTGATCTGTTTAATATCAACACGGAAATTTCATTTCAAGACTGAAGATCCACGATGGGTAACTGGGAGACTACACATATATCACCCAGGAGCACACCCAGGTTTATAAGAAGCACTCAGCACACGACAGCTGCTACTTTATCATCAGGACTCTGGAAGGGCTAAGGTCCCATCTTCCCCTCCCTCCCTCCTTCCTGCTGAGCCAGCTTGCAGGTAAGTGCTGTGAGCTGGGAACTGGTACTTTGAGCTCTGGTGAGTCTGGGCTGCAGGGTAGGGTAGGGATGTAGGTGAACTTTTAAGTAACTGGCAAAACTTTCAGGAGAACCCAATTCTTTGGCTTTCTTAGTTTCTTTCTGGAGTAAAGAACAGGTGGCAGCCACTTAAACACTTAGACACTGAGCTGAATCCAGGGCCGCCTTATGTTTGCCAATAACTGAATGGAACAGGGTATTTTTGGCCTCCAAGTGACCTCTCTGGGAGCTGCTGGTCCACCTGAGACCCGAATACCACCCGAGCAGAGCAGAGATGTATCAGTGATTCCCAGCTTTAAACCTGTAAGACCCCAGGGTCCCTCTGATGATCTTCAGATTGCTTATATTTTTTTTCAAAAAAAAATAGATTCTAAATCTTTCCTTCGGGAAAGATAAATTTTTATTAACTCACGTAAACTTATTTTTTAAATGGATGTGTAACTGCCAAGGAATTAACCAACCATGATGAGCTGTTGGGTGCTAAAACTCTGAAAAGGTGGGAAATCACTGACCTGGATTATCCCTGGAAGCCAGGAAGGAAAATAAAAAAGTTCAGAGTCTAAGCCAGTTGCAATTTTGCCTTTGTCCCAACAACACAGTCAATGTCAGCCACTGACTATGAGCGCATGGCCACACACACCAGGACACAGAAGCCTGGCGACATGTACGCTGTCACTCGCTTCTCTCTCCCGGAACCTCTCACCCCCACTCTCTGGACCATAGCCCTCCATCACCTCCATCCACCTGACAGTTTCTAATGACATGTTAAGATATCAAGACAGAGAAATAATGACTGGAAAGGATGCAATGATCTGTTTGCTTGGAAACATGAAACTGTGATTAACAGGTTAACTTTAAAGACGCGACACACCTAAGACCGCTTGCTAGGCAATGGTTATTTTAAGACAGTACACTGTATTTTATGAGAGCTACTACATGGTTCAGGCTGTTAAAAATAGGAATCCTGATTGAGCTAATGACTAATTAGTGAAAATTAATCAAGTCTTAATGGAGTATAGAACAAAATATGTTCTGGGAAGCTTTAACTATTAAGTATTTCATCTTAGGAACAAGCTCTAAGAACTCAAACCTACTTTATCTGTAAACCTACACATTGCATGCTGAAGTTTCCAAATGACCGTAGAAATGAACTCTAGTAGGGGAGTGATGAAACGGAGGTATTTATACCACCCAGGATGCGCTGGGAGATCTACCAAGTTCCTGAGAAGGTGCTCATATTGGATCTTGCAGGTCCTTCCTCCACCTCCTCTGCCTCTGTCTGCCATGCAAACACCAACTTTTGATACACCTAACTGGGTTCACGTGGCGATTACACAGGAACCCGAGTCCCCGTGCAAGCGGGCTGTCTGGAACAGCCGCTGACTGCCTCCCATGAGCCGGAGTGCGTTCTTGGCCCTATACTCACCTTCCACTGCAAGGTGAGCGAACTCCTGCTCCTGTTCGCCAGCTTGGGAGGGAAGGGGCACTCTGGTGCACAGCTGTGGGTGGTGAAGCTGACTGGCTCAGAGCAGGACCCCTTGACAGAATTGTACATGGCATACACCCTGCAAAGGAAACGGACAGGCAGAATGAGCGTCAGTAAATGAGGGCTCTGCTTCCTGGGCTCTCCACAGCGGAGCAGAGTCCTGACACAGGAGCACACTGCGCTCCTGTCCTTGCCTCGCTCTGGCCAGTAAGGACAGCGACAACCATCTCATTCAGCCATTTCCCACCCAGCCCCACTACAATGGAGGTGACTCTGCTGACTGGAAAAGACAATGTGCGTAACAGAGTGGAGCCTCACTCCCAAAGTGGCTTCCATATATACACTCTAAATGCCAACAGGCGTGGCCTGGCTGTCTAGAAAAGGTGAGAAGTGCACTAGCGAGGAGCTGTCGGGAAGGCATGTGAGGCAGCGATCAGAGTCCACAGGCTGCAGAGAATGCACGGAAGAACAACTGTAGACACCTCAGCACTACTCAGAGCACCGTGGACATCTACGTACAAATACGGATGGGTTTCCCGAGAAACCTGCGGGCCACTGCCAAATGCACCTCTCTGCAATTCAACAGAGACGGCATTCCAGAACAGTCCATCCACGTGCATATTTAATGCCCACGCACAGCACCAAGGCTAATGATTTTCTCTCTGCACTCTGAAGCACTTGGCTCAGCATTCAACCCATGTGCCTGGTTTTAGCAAAAACGCTAAGCACAAATGTAGACCCGATCCTTTTTAGGCAATGTAAGAATCCACCTTGTATTTGTGTTGTTTGCCTTCTGGGAGGACATCATAGCATTTGAGGCAAAGAAATGATACCAGTTATGAGACTGCTCCCTGCCCAACTGAGAAAAGGTTCCTCTGTGCACAGTGTAAGATGAATAGTTTAACACAAAACCAAACTGCAGTGACCCACCAAGATCACGTCTACATGTCAGGATGAACTTTAATGAATTGTTGCAGACATGGTGGGGTTCAAGCTTAAACTTTATGTCACAATGTTCCTACGCAAGTTGTAAGGTTGTGCCTAGACCAGGATACGTGTATGGGGGGAGCTGGTGTCTTTAAATATCAGTACCTATGAATTTTAGGATTTAAATGGAGATCACCACATAGGAGACAGTCAGATGCTGTGTATCCCAGTCCATGGTCACAGCACCTGAGCACTATGTGCAGGCCTGATTCCTGCATGAAGGAGGTCGAAGTGGGATGACCATGAGTTCAAAGGTGCCTTGAGCTACTAACCTAGTCAGTCTTCTGTCAGTGTAACACAAGCTAGAGTCACTTGAGGAAAGGGAACCTCGTGGAGAAAATCCCATCATCAGACTGACTTACAGACAAGCCTGTGGGACATTAACTTGCCTGATGATTAAAGTAGGGTCCCATTGCTTAATAATCAAAGTTCATGGTGGGCAGTGCCATTCCTGGGTAGGTGGTCCCTAGATCGCATAGGAAAACAGGCTGAGCAAGCCAGGAGTGCAAACTATAGGGGTGCTTTCTCCATGGCCTCTGCTTCAGTTCCTCCCACCTCCAGGTTACTGTCTCGAGTTCCTGCCTTGACTTCCCTCAGTGTGGCCTAAGAGTTTCAACCTCGAGCCAGGTCTGGAGGTGCATGCCTTTAACCCCAGCACTCCAGGGGAGGGGACAGATAGATTTTTGAGTTCAAGGCCAAATTCCAGGATACCTGGGACGACACCCACTCTCCAAAAACTGTGGAAAGCTGAAATAAACTTATTGCTTTCGAAGTAGTTTTTGGTCATCATGTTTTATCACATCAATAGAAACCAATGAATTACAAAATGAGTTCTAGGCTAGCCTATGCTGTATAGTAAGACTATAGCCTGTGCTGTATAGTAAGACTATAGTCTTGCTATAGTATAGTAAGATGCACAAACAAAAGATAAGTGAAGAGGACAGGCCATCATATATGAACCTACGTATAGATCTATCTATATGTCACTGTCACCTTCCTGGAAACTCAGAGGACAGGGAAACCTCAGTCATCTCAAGCGAGTACGGCACACTCCACAGGTCACAAAATGACCCCAATACAGTCATGAGGACCTAAAGGAAACTCTATGGAGTTAAAGAAATTTGAGATCCACTAACCAAATAAATATTCAGGCTACATCTGAATTTTCCTAACAACAAACTTTAAAGAAAGTAAACCCTTCATTTTTAGGACACCCGAGGAAAAGTGAGAAATCTTGCAGTTTTGAAGATACTAAGAATCACTGTTGTGTTTTAGTGGCACAGTGAGGACGGTAACATTATCTTAAAATGGAATACATAATCTCTAATACTGACTTCAGGGTGTTTGATAAAACAGAGTTTGGCAGAAAAAGAACCCGAGGGCAGAAGTAGAAGTCTGAGGTGGTTATATGCACCACATGAAGTAAAAGTCTGAGGTGGTTATATGCACCACATGAAGTCACACTGCTCATCCTTAACTGTGGCGGCCGCTAAATTCGGTGGGTGGACCCTGGTGGAAGAGCATGCGCTCAGCATGTATGGGGCCCTGGGCTTAATCTCCAGCAAACCCCTCTCCAAAAGGGGACAGCTGTTTAAATGAGAAGTTCAATGATTTCACACATACAAGCTAAGGAAAAATGAGGTTAATTTTAAAGCATACCATTGATGTGCTGCAGATAGTAAAAATTGATACATTATTTAATCACATCAGGATTTATTAAACAAAACTGTTCAGCAAATAAACAGTAACTAATTATAATTGTAACAGAGGCTTGCTACATTCTCACCCATGATGTCTATAAAAAGTAAAATCTTTGAAAATGACATATATACTAAATATTCCAGGGGCCAGCAAGATGGCTCAGTGGTTAAAGGACCTGCCGCCAAGCCTGATGACCTGAGTTTGACCCCTGGAACGCATGTCATAGCGAGAACCCATTTCTGCAAGCTGCCCTCTGATCTCCATGCACAACCTTCCTTCAAATAAATAAATAAATAGATTAAATAGTCCCTAATGTTCTGTAACGGGAAGATCTATAGCACAGGAGAATTTTCTCGGGTTAAATAAATCAGCTGGATTTTCTTTTGCACTTCACCTCCCAAACCAGAACATTTTCCTGCATAACTGATCTGTGTTGGGGTTCCACAGGTTCCATGTCAATGCCAGGCAAACACTTAGGAAGCAGGTGCTGCAAGAATTTCACCAACAGGCTCGTAGCTCCTTTTCACACGTCTGGAACATCCTAAGAGCCAGAGTCTCCCGGAAGCAGAACCTATTTCATAACTTCACTCTGGGCTGGCTAACCAGGCTTTTAGAAATGGTTCAGCACATCATTTTCTTCTGGGAAATGTCATCCCCTTATGTCACTTCTGAGCACACTGCTACACTGGTGACTGAAAAGTGCCGCCAAGTTTGTGGTGGGCTTGCTGTCTATCCGTCATTCAAATTCCCCGCAGGGCTACTACTGACAAAAATAGTAGTTCCTGTTTTTGAAACAAAGCTGGAATTTTTTTTTATAGATTGAAGCACAGGCAAAAGAAAAGGGGCAAGGACAGCGATGACAGCGGCTCATGCCCTGCAGTCGGCACAGGCGTCTCAAGAGACAGTCTCTAAGGTCTGGGTCCTAGGTTCGCACAGTAGAAACCATCTTAACACCATGTTAACTATAACCCTGACAACTAAAGGACTCCGGAGACACTCCTCTGAGCAATGCCTGGAGCACACGTTTGCAGATGGTTAAATGCTTATTTATAGAAATGTGTGTGTGTGTGTGTGTGTGTGTGTGTGTGTGTAGTCAAGCATGAGTACTTACAATGGTATTTTTTACATGATTTTCTTCGTTCCTTTAAAATACGTGTGTAGAGGTGCATGTGTGTGCAGGTGCACATGTGTGTGTGAGTATTTCTGTAGACAGCAGCTCAAGCTCGGGCACCTTTCCTCTGGAATGCTGTCTATCTTACCTCTCAGTTTCTCCTAGGCTGGGGTTCACCCATTAGCGGGGTAGGCTAGCAGGGAGTCCCAGGGACCAGACTTCTTACCACTGACACTGCAACCACGTGCTGTGGTGGCTGGCTGTTTAATGTGTGTTTCAGGATCTCCCTTACGGACTGAAACAGCTTTCCACAGACCAAAACAAAACGAGATTTAAACATGTAATAGTATATGTCTAATGGAAGCACTAATTATACCTTGATAATTATAAATTGATTCTTTTAAAATATTACATCAGTTAATTAAAATTGTTATCTTTATAAAACTCTAAAAAAGACCTAAGTTTTATAAATCAATGCATCATTTCATAAAGGTATTCTGCTTCAATTATAATAGTAACAGAAACATCACGGTGGAACAGATTTGCAGAAATACCACATGTATGTTTATAAAAATAAGAAAGAAAACTTTTTTTAAACATGAAATGAGTTTGGATATAATTTTCCACACAGTACATGGTTCAGGTGGCAATGCTAATAAAAGCAGCACATGACTGACAGCTTGGCCTAGAGGATGTCCTGGTCCCAGGAAACCCCACTGATTGGCGGCATGGCCCAGAGGATGTCCTAGTCCCAGGAAACCCCACTGATTGGCGGCAGTTTGGCTGGGATTCCAGAGAGGAACTCCCTACTTAGAAAACCAAGCTTCCTGTAGCCCCTCGGTCCTCATACAGGGTGAGAGAGCTGAAAGCCAGGAAAAGAGCTATGCAGAGACAGCAGACAATCTGTGGGAAGGATAAATCCAAGCAGAAAAATCACAGGAAACCTGAGGCAGAGGACGAGAGCCAGTGAGAAGAGATGGGAACAAAATGAACAAAGTGCAAGGATAAATAAAAATATCACAACGAGGCCCATTATTCTGCACACTGAAACTGAATGAAATCCATGCCCTGCGATGCTGAAGCAGGCATGGGCAGCCCGTATATGGCGGTTCTGTTGGACTTGTCTGTGTTGGGTTTCATGGTCTAAGTTGATGAGGACGACTGACCAGGTTTCTTCCTCAAGAGGGCACCAGACCCCACTACAGATGGTTGTGAGCCACCATGTGGTTGCTGGGAATTGAACTCAGGACCTTCGGAAGAGCAGGCAGTGATGGGATCCGCACATTAACTCCAGGAAATTCCATCGTTAAAGACACAGTAACAAGAAAGTCTACACGTAACTTCAGCACATAATTTAGGAACAAAATATTTATGTGCCAAGATTTCTGTAGGTCTCAATGGAAATGGTAATAGTAAGAACTGGAAAGAGGACACTGTGTGAACTGGGCGTCGTGGCCCAGACCTGCAATCCCAGCACTTGGGAAGCAGAGGTTGGAAGAGCAGAAGTTCAAGTCATCCCTGGCTACAGAGGCCCTTCCTCCAAACAACAAACAAAACAGAAGAGCGCTGGGTCCTCAAAGCTGCTCTGCTGTGTACAGAGAGTGAACAAATGACCACGGCTCTGGCCCCGCCCTCCACGAGGAAGCCCCATTCAACACCAGCTCCCTGAAGGGCACGGGATGTATGGTGGCCATCTGGGCTCTGCAGCTACTGCCAGGGCTGGCTCCTAACTCACCTCACGTGGTAATCAGTGGCAGGCCTGAGATCTTTCAGGTTACATTCCAATTCTTCTCCACTGCAACAACAAAATGTTTGTTAGTTTAACATTGGTCTTAAAGGCTTTGGGACTAGGTTTCATGGTTATTAGTCAACAGTAACTTAAGTGCTGCTAAGATCGCATTCACCAAAACCCAGACACAAACCTTATCTGGTGGTTGTCAGTTGTTTTTGTTTTTGTTTTGTTTTTGTTTTTTTTTTAATTAAAAATCAGAGTCTTTTGAGTGACACCACTCAGATCTAAAATATACAAAGTCGATTAAGTTTTAAATGTCTTAATGACTTTCTAAACCAAGACATAAAAGCAAATATGTACACAAACAGGTAGATCTGCAAGAAAACACGCCAGCTGTCTGGCAAAGGTGGTTCCCAGACTTAGCCTGACAGAAACCCTGATGCCCTCAGCATAGCCCCCTCCCCCAATGAACTTGCAGTTCATCCCAGATCCCCCCCAAAACAGTTCTCTGACATAAGTAAAACCACTTCTATGACCAAAAGAGCTCAACCTAAGTGATAAAGGAAAAACCCATCCAAAATAAGGCATTTCTGTTTAATTGTTGCCAAAAGGCCAGCTGTGGGAACGCACCTGGAATACAGAATGCAGGATTGCTGAGACAGCATAATCGGAAATTTAAGGATAGGCAAGGGAACTGCACAGCAGAACACTGATTTAATATGTTTTGAAGTACGTGTGTGTCCATACCTTATTTCTCACTCTTTAAAGTGATGAAATGGCCCATTAAAACAGACTAGAGAGCAAAGTGTATTATCTGACACTGTCCTGAAGGAATAAATCACTGGCATGGCTTTCAAAATAAGAGACTCATAGGGTCAGCTGGCAAAATTGAATCAGGATAATGGGTTAGAAGAAAGTTCTGGGGTGACATGTATTAATAAAATTGATAATTACAACATGGTTATCTACAAAAACATCCTGTGCTCAGAAAACATGAAATACTTAGTGGTAAAGGGTTGCGATGGATGAAACACATGCGAACAAACACAGAGAGAAAAAGTCACAGCTAGCGAAGACACGAGGGTTAAAGGTCAGTGACGGAGCACAGCTGCCTGCATCCGTTCTTATACCTGATGTCTGATGTCTGAACTCAAATAAAGCTGCTCCTGTTAAGTTTCAAGCCAGAAGCTATGACCACACCTAGCCTACAGCTGCAGCTCGACCTGCACTGCAACTGAAAATGTCTTGTTATCTGCTGGACTAGGTCAACACGAGGAAAACAACACAGGCATTGAGAGCTTTAGCATCTCTTGGAGAGTAAAAATCCCCCAAGAATCAACAAATCCTGACAACTGAAGCTGAGGGGCAAGTGCTCCCTTTGAGCAGAGACAGGCTTCCAACCGCAAGCCATGCTGCACTGTACCGCCTGCCAGGCTCCTGGGCGTACTCGTGACTCCAGCTGCTAGCACCAGAGTTCATCTCTCATCAACAGGATGCAGCCAGCTGGGGGCAACGGTGTACACCCATACTCTATGCCAATAGCTCCAGCTCCTGGAGACACTGAGGGGCGAGGATCACATGAGTTCTTCGCCAGCCTGGGCAATAAAGCAAGTCTGCCTTCCCTGTCTCTAATTTCTGCGTGAGGACGTGGAGGCTCTATGTTTTTCCACTGTGTCTAAATGTATGCCTTTTCAAAACAGAATAAAATGATTAAGAACCAGAGCACCCGACTGAGGTTTTATTCACATAATTCACTTCATAGCCACTTAATGTATGTAGTAACTGAAAAATTTAGTCACTTTTTGTCCTGATAGACCTTGGTAGAAAATTTTTATTAATACTATATTGGCAATAGTACTATAGATTTATTTTTACCACATAGCCCTATAATATTAATTTATGATCAATAATTACAAAATTAATTAATTCCTAACATTATAATTACCATCCCTTTTTCCAGTACTGAGAGTTGAACCCAAGGCCTCAAGCATGGTAGGCGAGTTCTCTGCCAGTGAGCTATCCCCTCAGCCCTGTCATTACTAATGTTTAAAGTTACTGACTTAAAAGGACATTTGTATAGTCTAAATTTCCTATTTTTTCTTTTCAGTGATGCAATTTAGTAGCGATGAAACCCGCGTGGAAACACACACTACCTGTAAATGATCTTGTATTTTCCATCTCGTCCCTTGTCTGATAAGGCGACCTCATAGCTGTAAGGGAAGGAAAGGCCACCGTGGGGCCCACAGGACAGTCCGACAGGGGGTGCCCAGGACAGCACAACTGCTCTTGCCTGGATGTTTGACACCTGAAAAGAGAAGGAGGGCGGGTTAAAGCGTCTACATGCATTCTACATACATTCTACACGCTTCAACGCAGTTGCCTTGAATTATGGCTTTGTTATCACTAACAGCGACACAAAAGTTAATCCGAGGCAACTTTAATTTTAATGAAAGTCTTATCTGTTGCTCTTCTGTCAAAGGCCTGAGGGCCAAAGGACACTCAGCTCCTGCAGCACTATCTTCAATGTGCAGGCTCACGAAGTCTGACACACACTCAGGCCTCCTGTGCCTGACAACTTCAAGGTAAACAAATATATTCTAGAAGCCTTCACGCTTCGCTGGGAGTTGACCTACCCTGTGGAGGTAACACTGGCCCCACCGAGACCCTGAGGTCCTATGGATTCCCAGTCTCCTCTCACCACTGCTTGGTCTGCTCTAGTTCCAGGCTTTCCTCAGGCATCTCTGGACACTCTGCTGCCCAGAGCTCCGATCTGCTCAGTTTAGAACAAGTCTAGCCTTGGCTGCCTTCCCTGCCTGGCCTCAGCGGCCCCTCTATCTCAAGCTCTCTAAGTTATCTTCCCAAACAACTATTATACAACTCTGTTTTCATGCTTGTTTCTAGAGAAACTTAACCTAATGCACAAGGCTTAATTCTTTAATACAAATCTAACAACAGACTTCTAAACTTTAATTTCTAAGGACTACACCGTGGGCCCTGCTCTGGACAACTCGTTAGGATGAACAAAGGAGTGAGAATCAGTTCAACGCTAAAGCTCAGCGTTCACAGAGGCCTCAGAGCTGACAATTTCAGGTCCGGGGGGGGGGGGGGGGGGACACACACAACCATGCAGGCCTATTGTTTTCTCCTATTTTTGCCACTATCTGATTGATATAAATTATGGAAATCTATACACTCCAATAATTTGAAAGCACAAATGGTAAGGAGATAAATGCTGAACACAGCTTTTCCCTCTGCTACCTACTTCAGTTTCAGCAGACATTCCTTCTGTGTAATCTCTGTCCCATACAGACACAACACCTCGGCACATTAGCTAGATTCCCATGCATCCTTCGAGATCCCAGGTGAACTTCACCTCTCTGCCACCAACTAGCCTCGAAGTCTCTCACGCGCTCCACTCAGTACCACACCTGAGTTCTAAGGAACCCAGTGTGGGCTGCTACCACTACTAACTACATCCGCAACCTGGGGAATCTAGCGCCCTTGGAGGAAAAACCAAGTTATAGTCACTGATGAGCAGCAGCTGCTAAACAAATGTTTGCTGAGTAAAAACTAAATCAGAGAGAATATGGCACATCCAGTTTCTTTGTTATTTTGTTTAGAGGGAGGGTTTCTCTGTGTAACACCCCTGGCTGTCCTGAAAACTCACTCTGTAGCCCAGGCTGGCCTTGAACTCACAGAGATCCACCTGCCTCTGCCTCCCAAGTGCTGGGATTAAAGGCGTGCACCACTCCCTCTGATCTGCAGAATGACCATCCACACCCTCCAAGGTACTCTCCTGCTGCCCTAGGCTTAACAAACTTCTAAACGCAGGTCAAAGGCTGCCTTTATTTCTGCATGAGTTGTCACAGTGCCCTTGTGGACAGAGGGCCCATCTGGACAGAAATGATCAGGACAGTTTTTGGGCTCACAAGTCCGAGGAGTGTGTAATTAAGATAGGCTCTACAAAGGAATAAGCATGCTTCTGTTTGCCTATCGAAGGATTGTTGATATCAAATTCATCAAGGTGGGGGGACGACCTCCCTGAATGTGGGTGGCACCAATCAATGGGCCAGGGTCCCAGGCTGGATAAAAAGGAGAAAATGAGCTGAGTAACAACACCAGTCTTCACCCCTGCTTTCCAGCTGGGAATGCACCTTGACCAGCGGCCTCATGCACCTGCCACCGACACAGCCCACCTTGATGGGCTATCGTACTTCAAAGTGTGAGCCACTGTGAACTCTTCCTCCCTCATGCTGGCTTTCTCAGACACTCTGTCCCAGCAACAAGACAAGTAGATAATACAAGAACATGGGGGAGAGAGCAGGACAGTCTGTGCACTGGGTGTGCTCTGGCCACATGTTCTGTCTTCTGTGTGGTCATTTCACTGCTGGGACACTGATCTCTTGTTAGCTGGTTTCTTCAATTAGCTTTTCAGACAGTTTCCCATGTAGAGCAGGGCACATGCTGAATTCTCCCACACCCCTGCGTGAGTAACCCTGACCTATTGGTTATTTACACAGCCTTGCACCATTCCTTGCACCAGGTGGGTAGTAAGACTGACACTAGGATTGGTGGTGTGAACTACACACCTCAGAATAGTCTGGTCAAAGCCAGCTTTCAGATACCAAGCACTCATTCATAAATTCACACCCTTCAAAGTTCACACCTCCTAGCAACTGCTACAAACACACTTTCCTCCTCGAAGACTTAAGCTATTTGAATGAGCAGAGACATGCGATGCTAGATGGAACAGCAAATAATGTTTACTTCTCCCTAGTAGTCTTGAGATGTGAGTACCTGTGAACCTGCAACCTAGCCAAGGGCTTTCCCAACACAAGTGCACACTGGGAATGTAGCATGCTTCCTAAGGATAGAAGTTCCTATGAATTCCTCCCTTAAGCTGTGAGGGCCAGTGGAGTGCTGGGCCTCTCTTTGGACTTACAAGTCACTACTACCTCAACAAGGACTCCAGGAAACTAGTTTTTGTCTTTGAAGACAATGCCACCCGGGGGGTCAATCCTCAGCCCCAGATGTGTTTATGTCAGTGGGTCTGGTAAGGTGAGATGGGACTGGGGGGTGGGGGTCAAGCCTATGTCTGGTTACAGCATGTGGCCATGAACTTCACTTTGCCAACTTCTCTCTTTGTGAAAACTTTCTCAGCAGTGCTGATCACCGGGGCAGCCCAGGATGCTGCTCTTTTGTTCACTGCAGTCTCCATGGCTACAGAGCATCTCTGGAAGTGTAACAGTTGGATGGACCTCGGAACCACTAGAAGTCAATGCCTTTAGAAGCAGTGATAGAAGGGCTGATTGTTAGTTCTGGTAACATAGGTAACTGATGTCAAAGGGTCTTTGGGAAGTGGATGAGTGAGTCTGCATAGGAATTGGTTAACCATTTAAAAATGCCTCACGGGCTTAGGGAACTATTGTCTACTTCTGAAGGGCTCACTGCCAGAACTTGGACTTTCCGACCTATTTCACAGTGCAGATTCTAACTGGGGAGTGGGTGTGGGTGTGAGCTGTAAAGTGTGTCAACTTGTAGCCATCCTTACATCCTTCCTCTCTGCCCCTTCTGCTCAGTGTCTAAATTAGCCAGTAAAAATGTATTATTTTATTCTCAGAATTTAGTTCTGTGGGAGGCCCTCCAATCTGGTGAAGTACTATCCTAAGGAAATATTTCCACAGAAATGCTGGCTTGACTACTGCAGCAGCCTTCATGATAAATAAAGCAAAAAACTACACAGGAGGAAAAGGATAAATGATGGACACAAATCCTCAACTCTGGGCTCCAATGTGCTGTGCATGGCAGCTGTTCCCAGACATCTCTCAAGTAAGCATTGACCAATCAACTGTTTCTTCAAACTAAACACTGGCCAATGGAAACGACACACAAACACAGCAGATTGTCTGCCGCCAATAGGTCCTGAAAGCCAGCAGCCCACCAGGACATGGGGGCTGCACTGAGCACCACCATCTGAGAGGATCCAACCAGTGAGTCTGCTAACTCCTAAATCACAGAGGGCAGCATAGAGTTCCCACCTCGGATAGGGCAGCGGCCATGACAGCCAAGTCCGCAAGGCACCCAAGTGCGTCAGCAGACAGGCTTTATGAAACTGGCCAGCTATTTGAGTCTCTTTTAGGGGACAGTAAGTGACTCACTTAATTTGGGGTGCCTAAAGTTACAGAAAGATGACTGGGGTCTGCAAGCCCCAGATGACACTTGACAGTAATCTCAAAGAAAAAGCATTGTTTTTCATTTAGAGTTGGTATAAGAGGTAGCTGAAGGGGACAAGGATAAAGAATTGCTCTTCAATTTATGGCTCAACCTTCTCTTGCAGCCTGGATTTTTCATCTGTGGGGTGCCTGGTGCCCTCCTCATCTCTGAATGCAGTATGGAGCTGCCTCTTGCCTAGCTACATGCTGCGAACTATAAGGAAAGCCTCTTCTAAGTATTCTAACACAGCATATAACTCTCTTCTCAGATCCCCATGCTGTCTTTATCACATTAACTTTAAAAGATGAAGATATTGAGGCACTTCAATTAATATCAGGAAGGAGCTAAACCTTGGCTAAGGTCAGGAAGACAGGTAACAGCCATACTGGGTACAAACCTACATGGGTCCCTTCCTCCTAGCTGCTGCCTGGCACTGTGACATCTTCTGTCCCTGCCTTCCTCCACACTGGCCAGTCTGGAGACATCTATCCTACCCACCAGAATCCAGGTATGTCTGGCAGACATTTCTTCAGCAACAACTGTCAAGGGTTCAGTGTGTGTCAGGGACAGTGACAGCTAGGTCTGAGGGGCACAAAGACTACGGACAATCATGCAAAAGAACTTTAGAAAGAAGGGACAAGAGAAAGAAGATAAGGTGAGAAAACTATACAAATACCTAACTGGGCAGGGAATGAGCAGCTGTTAGCCAGCAGAGGCCGTCGACCAGGACGAAGGGACATGTACCAGCAGAACTCCCCACCACCCGCCTCAGTCTGAGAAGCCACTGGGTCCTACGCAAGAGCAATCCGAACTCTTACTAGCTGAGCCCCTCTCAGGCCCTGGGCCTACGTTCTGAGACAGGTTCTCTCACCGAGTCTGGGCTCACTGTTTCAGCTGCACCTGACATAACCAAGCCCTGGGAACCACTCCTCTCTGGCCCTCTCTGCTTAGATTACAGGTGTTCTCTCACACTTGGGTTTTTGTTTGTTTGTTTGGTTGGTTTTTTTTTTGATGTGGGTGCTGAGATCCAAGCTCGGGTCCTCATGTTTGTACACCACACATCTGCCCGCTGAGTCATCTCCTTTTCTAACCTCCCTGCTCTTTACTTCTAGCCCCCATCTGTGTCTACAGTGTGGACTTCCATCTCTATGTTACAGTTTCCCATTTCTGCTCTTGGTCCTCCTCTTTCCACAGCACTGAGTCTACCAGACACTTCCAACTGTGTGCTATATTCATTTTTCTGGATGTTCTGCAAGTGAGACAGACCTAATATGTCCAGGAACGGCCAGGAAAACACAAAAGGAGCCTAAGATGAGTGTGCCCTAATGGAAGTGCAGATACCTTCAGAAATACCCTTGAGTGCAATGTGTTCTAAGCAACGGCAAGAATACATCCAGGTCACAGTGAGACTGCAGGCCCCACCAGGTACTACAGACCATGACATCCAGGTCACAGTGAGGCTACAGACCCCACCAGAGGTACCACAGACCATGACATCCAGGCTACAGTGGGACTGCAGGCCCCACCAGGTTCTATAGACCACAAGGACCACCCACCTAGTGGCAAGGGCAGCAACTGGGGAAGCTGTTGAAGAGATGCACTGAAGCTAAAAGCCCAGCTACTTTTGGTATCAAATAGGTAATCAATGAATCCATTTATTTTCAGAATGGACTTAATATCTGGCCCTTCTTGCCACACTGGACACAACCACCTAATTCTGACTCCTGGACCCCATCCTACCCATCCTGTGGACTATGAGGAGTGGGAAGGTTCCCAAAACTCCCCCCCCCCCCCCCCCCCCCCCCCCCCCCCCCCCCCCCCCCCCCCCCCCCCCCCCCCAGACCCCCTCCCCGCCCCGCCCCCTCCAAACGCAGGACCAGCGAGCCCGGAGGGACCTGAAGCTGCGGCAGCCGAGGCACCCCCCCCCCCCCGCCCCACTCCCTCAGCCTATCCTCTTTCCAACTCACCTGGAAACCTGGACCAGTCTGCAAATGCAGCCCTAACTACTTAGCAACTTCGCCTGGGAAATACCAAAGACCACTGCGTGCCCAGAGTGAGTTCAAATGTCTCAAATCTCACCAAAGTCCCTGACAAATGCCCTATAATGTCACCCCCCAACATAACCATGCTCCTTGGTTTAGTGCAGATGAGCCTGAGGTCAATTTGGAGTCTGCCCTTAAATTTTGTCTTTGTAACAGACCAAGAATCAAGATTTTCCAATTCAGCCAGAAAAACACTCCCAAAACATTGGCTCTAGCTCGGACAAAAAGGTTGAATCAACATTATAAATTTCTAGCTGAATTTCAAAACACCTGGCACACAGAACTGCAGTCTAACATACCACCAGTCCTGCCCTCTTCCCTTGCCATGGCACCCAACGTCCTCCAGTATAGAAACACGGCTCTGAAATCTACCCAGGGAGATATCTGCGACCTCTGAGGCTTTCAAAATGTATTCTTCCTCCCTTTACAAAGGTGAAAAGAAATTACCGAAAACAAACTGTTCTGTAGACCCACAAAAATCTAGATGCTTCTAACCGAATTCAGAACATCAGCACTAAGGTAGTGGTTCAGTGGGTGGCTACAAAGAATCCCGTTCTAGATTTTCACGATCCATTAATAACTGACTACTGTCTCAAACTTATTATATTTGCAATGGAAAGGGGTCCTTCTGCTTACTGATGGTGTAGCAAAAAGACAAGCACCCTGGGAACACTTAAGAACATGCTGTTCTTGCCGAGAGGTCCAGAAGACATACCTGTGGTTTCTCTATTCCCGAAAGAATGTCCTGCACCCTCTTTACTTCCAACTCATACTCTGCAAAGACAAGAAGGGGACAAATGTTAGAAGACTGTCTGTTTCCTTCCCCAAACCGTAGTCACGGAGATCATCAAGTCGCTCAGGTGCACACTACCACACATTGCTGGTGCCACCTGGAGCACTGGCTGATGACATCACTGTGCTTGTGATAGCTTCCCCAGGTACACTGTATGTACTCTGTATGTATTCTAGCTTCCCCGAGTACACTGTATGTACTCTGTATGTACTCTAGCTTCCCCAGGTACACTGTATATATTCTAGCTTCCCAGAATATACTGTATGTACTCTGTATGTATTCTAGCTTCCCCAGGTACACTGTATGTACTCTGTATGTATTCTAGCTTCCCCGGGTACACTGTATGTATTCTAGCTTCCCAGAGTACACCGTGTGTATTCACTGGGTTGGCTAGATTTGTCCTACTTCACAACACACACTGGGAAATAATGGGTCATAAGAAGGGCAAGCAGGAGATCCATGCAAATACATAGAACATCTTTGTTGTTGTTGCCCCTTTTTTTTTTTTTTTTTTTTTTTTTTTGAGACAGGGTTTCTCTCTGTGGCTTTGATCCTGGCCTGGAACTCCCTCTGTAGACCAGGCTGGCCTTGAGCTCACAGAGATCCTTCCTCTGCTTCCTGAGTGCTGGGATTAAAGGTGTGCGCCACCACCACCCAGCTTCTAAGAGAAGATGATCTTGAGTGACAATGGAGTGATTCCAACTTTTCTTCAGGATGTGTGTATGTACAATGTATCCATGTATTCATATGTAGTTCTCTTGAGGATGCGTGTATGTACAATGTATCCATGTATTCATGTGTAGTTTTCTTCAGGATGCGTGTGTATACAATGTATCCATGTATTCATCTGCAGTTTTCTTCAGGATGCGTGTGTATACAATGTATCTATGTATTCATGTGTAGTTTGGGTTTACATTTGAGCTGCAGTCTTCAGGATGCGTGTGTGTACAATGTATCCATGTATTCATTTGTAGTTTGAATTTTACATTTGAACTGCAGTGTTATAAGTTGGAGTTTGAAGAAACATTAGACTTCTTCATAAAAATGCACATAAGGAAGGTGTATGTGCTGGGTTATAGTAGATTGCAGCAGTTCTACAGGTAAAGGACATGGCTACCTTCGGCTGGAGTTAGTGATAAACATGGTGAAAACATGGCTAGGCTGTGAGACACAGCAGCAGCAAAACTGGTGTGACAGCCAGTGGGGAGGGAACGAGCAGGGGCAATTCTAGTCTTCATTAACTAAATAGACAATGGTGTTTTCAATAAGATTAGGAAAGGGACATTTTCATAGTGCAGTAAAACCTGCACTTTAGAAATACAAAACCCTGGCATAGAGGGATGGGAAGGATAGAGAGCCAAATTAAAAAAAATGTAAGTAAACAGAATTCAATCTGCTTCACTTAAGGAATCTAACTCTTGAGTTGTGGTGGATTCCACACTATCCTGATTTAAAAGCCAATGCTATAAAGATACAATATGATTCCCAGGGCATAAATCCTTGACCCCAGTTATTTCCCAGTTCGTGGGGGAAGGCGGCAGGAAATCCAAATGGTAACTGTAACATCAGAGGAAAAACCTGTCCTCCAGGCAACCTGAGGGAGGGCATCGGGAAAGCTTTAGACTAGCCTAGAAGAAGTAAGTCCCGTGGCCACAGTCATGTGGACACAGAGCTGGGGCAATGATGGGTCAGCCGGCTCTGCACTTCACAGGGCTGCTTGGTCTCTATTCAGGTACAGTCCCATCACTAGCTGAAGGACTGTCTCGGTATCCACCAGGCTGTCACTTTGGTCCTACTCACTGCTCATCTATTACCAAAAATCTGAGAACAGCGATCCTGCCCATTTCCCCTCACGCTCATGCCTGGTTTTCCCGCTACAATGTGTCTGGAAGGCAGAGATACTTCAGGCCTAGAGCACACGATTTATTTCCCATATAAAGAAACATATAATCTCAACACTTGAAAGGTGGAGAGCTGAGGATCTGAGTTCCGGGCTAGCCTAGGCTACACAGCAAGATGATAAGCTCCTGACTGAGAATAGCAACAGCTGAAAGAAAAAAAATGGTGACACAAGGTAAGGGAGTGGGCTGGGACGACTGAAGAGAAGCCCAATCTGAAATGCTGGAAATGACGGCACGGTGGTCAAGTAAAAAGTTCTGCAGAAATCTCAGTAACAGAGTGAGTGGCTCAAGGAGCAGACAGCATGTCTGAACCTGAAGACAAGGTGGAAAGCTGGACAGTCAAGGGAAGGGAATAGTAAGAAGGTACCAGTGGGAACCTCAGGATCTAGGCATGCTCTGGAAAGATCACATCAACCAAGAAAAGATACAAAAGGAAAAGAAACTAATTTTAAAAGGATGGAAACATTTTTATGGAATCCTAAGGGAAACACTTCTTTTTTTTCTTTTGTTGTTGGTTCAAGTTTCACCTAGTCAAAGCACCTTTCTTCCCGAGATCTCACAATATCTTTAGCACAGTGAAGGTTAAATTTAAAAAAGGACAATGGCACGGGGTTTTGATCCTATTTCATGTTCTGGCTTGGTGGGAGCCTAGCCAGTTTGGATGTTCACCTTCCTAGACATGGACGAAGGGGGAGAACCTTGGACTTTCCACAGGGCAGGGAACCCTGACTGCTCTTTGGACTGGAGAGGGAGGGGGAGAGGAGTAGGGAGAGGGGGAGAAGGGTGGGAGGAGGGGGAGGGAAATGGGAGGCTGGGAGGAGGCGGAAACTTTTTTTTCCCTTTTCTCAATAAAAAAAAGCTACACAGAAAAAAAAACACAATAAAGTGAATAGTTTTTCTTTTTTTAAAAAAATGAACACCTCACACCAAGGGAGCATGTATTATGTGATGTTTAAACTTTCCATAAATAATGGTTTTCATATTTGCTCCAAAAAAACACAAGTTCAGACAGTTTAATTAACTGTACAGGCTAAACTAATTTAAACATGACCCCTTTATAAACACAATTTACTCTTTGGTTTGTTTCACTTTTTTTTCCTTCTTAGTAAAGAAACTCGGGTCCACACTTGGCTGTAGCTGTAAAAAGTATTTACGTTGTACCAGCACCTTCATTCCAGCAGAATAACATCCACACTTCCCTCTAGTCCAGACCAGCTGGTGTGGAGATGCCCCTCTGCGCATCAGAGACCTCCCCATCTGCCACAGAGCTGCTATGGCTGCCCTTTAAGTGAGCTATGTCTACTGAACCAGTGGGCTAAAATTATAGGCTCTAATCATTTGTCTGTAACAACTAGATGGACAAAAATTATTTGTAGATGAAAAGAAAGATAGGCATTAATAATAAAAGCAAACTGGAGACCCAGACAAGGTTTGCTAATATTTGTAAAGATGAATACAGGCAAAGGAAGAAAATAATAAGAATGCTCACAGACAATCCTTTATGTAGAAAATAAAATTGTCTATTACCAATTTAAAAGGTATTACTTCTCTGAGAAAGAGAAAAAAGGGATCAAGTACATAAAATAGTTTCATTACTCAAAAACCTTCACTTAACGGTTAGGATTTCTAGGTATAAATACGAAAGATGCTAGCTCTCCAGTCCTCTCTAGTGACTTTAGATAGTGCTGTCAGTGTATACTGCCCAAGTACAAGGACTGGGTTCAGATCCCAGCACCCACATAAAGACAGCATGTACCCTGGATATCTTAGCCCTACAGTGGGTGGAGACAGGAGGATCACTGGGGCTTGCTGGATGCCAGCCTAAGCCCCCAAAACACAACAGGAGCTCTTGCTTCAGCAGAGACCTTAACTCAAAGGAACAAGGCTGAGAGTGGTAAAAAAAGGGGGTGGGGAGGGGTACCCCATCCCTTCATCTGACCTCCATGCTTGTGTGCACAAATGTGTACAAAATGCACACATACATGCACAGACACACCCCAGAACAAAACAGTTAAGTAAGATCACTGAAAAACACATTTTTATAATATAAGGACATTACAATTGATCGCTATAGAGCAAATATTTAAAAAACAAAAACACAACAAAGCAACCACAAGTGGCTGTGGAGATAACTCAGTAAGTAACGTGCTTGCCATAGGACTTGTGTCCAGATGCCCAGCAGCGTGTGCTTGTAATCCCCGTGACAGGGAGCTTGGCACAAGGAGATCCCAGGGGCTCACTAGTCCCATTCGATGAGCTCCAGTTTCAGTGAGATTCCCTAGCTCAGAAACAAGGAGAGTGACTGAGGAACACACCCAGTAGCAAGCTCTGGCCTTCACTCATGCACCCACACAAACACGTGCAACACATAAGCATGGGTGGGCACATGCACATAACCACAATACCGACATCAAATATTTGAATATGAAAATGCAAAACAGAAGTCTTCCTAAGTATTTAGTAGGGAAGGTGATTACATCCCTTGAAATTCTGAAAGACGGATGAACACTAGCCCATTAATGACAAAAATAAAAAAAGCAGACTCTTCATTTTGTCTAGAAAAATGTTTTTCAAGGGTGGCATGGGTTCCAAAAATATTGTGGAACCTGAGAGAAAAATGGAAGGAGAGCTGAATTCCTTTTGCAGGTGGAGTGAGCAGCTGGATAGGAGAACTGGCCACAGAATGGAAATGGGACAACAGGGCCTAGGTTCCTCTGAGCTTCAGGTGCCATTTGTGGAATTCAGGGGAAAGAACCATTTTCTTTCCTGAAGCAAGTTTGAGACAAAGTCCTGCCAGACACTTTCACACTAATCTACCCTCGAGTGAACGGCCCTTCCTGCGAAGGCTGCACCCTGTGGAACCAGAGAACAAAGAAGGGATGGGCTTGGGTCTTCGATGAGAAGCTGGGGAACAGGAAGGTACCACAGAGTCTTATCAACTTCTAAACTCTACACAGCTACCAAGTACCTTAGAGCTTAGAGCACTCCTGATAAATTCTCAAAGAAAACAAAAGCCCATGTTTGCTTCTTAGGGAACCCTAGGTATTCCTAGAACCCACACAGAAGCAATTAGCATTTTC